ACTTTCATTTCAAGTGTTTCTCTTTCTCTCTAATGTTATCTTATGAATGCTTTTTTTTTTATCCTATTCTAGTAACATTTAGCCGTATAGATCCTGGAGGCAAACTTGTCATGGGATTTCGCAAATCGACAAACAACAATGAAGATATACAGGTTGAGCCTTATTGGCATTTTCACTTCATTCTGAATCCTCTTACATTCAGATACCGTATCTCTTTTTTAATGTGTGGGCGGATTTACATGTACTTTGTACATGCTTGTTGAATGAACAGGACGCCCAGGCATCTGGCCTTCCTGATGGCACTGCTTCAGGGGAAACTTCTTTATCTGGTACTGTTGAGACTCTCCTTGCAGTAAGTGGTTAATCTGTCCTTTTTAGATCATTAAAGGCAGCAGGGATCCTGACCTAAATTCTCTGTCTGAACGTTTGAAATTAGCTGATGGATATATTGGCTGGAACAATAGTGAGAACCATGGGGGCGGGATAAATGGGGATCTACTGCAGCAAACAACAGCACCAACAGAGAAGAAAAGGACTCGAAATATTGGACCTAAAAGTAAGAGGTTACTCATGCATAGTGAAGATGCTATGGAGCTAAGACTAACATGGGAGGAAGCACAGGACTTGCTTCGTCCACCCCCAAGTGTGAAACCAACCATTGTCACTATCGAGGACCATGAATTTGAAGAATATGATGTAGGTTTCTCTTATTTGATGTTTTTGCTTGCCTATGCATTGCAAGTTATATGTGCAGTGATGCTTTAAAGGATTCAGTGCATTGAAGCTTTAAATTAGACCATTTTTTCTAGATAAACTATTTGATAAAATTTCTTTATTTCATTTAGGAGCCTCCAGTTTTTGGGAAGAGGACCATGTTTACTTCTCGATCACCTGGGTAAGGATTCTTGTATATGCATAGTGTTACATTTTGTGTTAAGAAAAGCAACGACCATAATGGGTTGGTGAAGGATATTTTAGAGTTCTTTCAGCATTTGTCCAATGTATTATTTATATGTTGTCAACATTTCCCTCCAGTACATTGAACACAAATTTTGAGTAAGGCTTTGATAGTTTTTAATAGAAAGGGCATGTTGCGATCCCATAGCTCTTGATATGGATGATAACACAGTTTTTTCTGCTTGCTTGCTCCCTCCTTACTACATTTAATTAAGGGAAGCAAGAGAGATCAAGTAGCTCTATTCCCATGTTCATCTGTTTTCGGCAAGTAATATACCTTCTTTCTTTCCCATCACCATCACCATCACAACCACTAGTGCATTGAAATCATCTATGGTTATGCAGCATGTTTGGGGTAATGTAGGATCTTGGTAGAAACTCTTAATCTGTATGAATGGGCTTGTGTAGTGAAGTGCTCCATGTCAGTTCTTTTAACGCTCAATAACTGAATCTTTCAGGAGACAAGATCAGTGGGCTCAATGTGATGATTGTTCCAAATGGCGAAAGCTTCCTGTGGATGCTCTTCTCCCCCCGAAATGGACATGTTCAGAGAATGCTTGGGATTCAAGCAGGTTGCTCATTTTTTGCTTATGAAATATTGTTTTTTGTTCTTTAGGATATTTCATTAAAAATCATTCATGATTGATATTTGGTTTCACAATTCATATTTTTATGGTCAACTTTACTAGGTGTACATGTTCTGTACCCGAAGAGATGACTCCAAAGGATTTGGATAATCTTCTAAGAGTGAGCAAAGGTATGATAGACCCTTTCTGCTTTCTGCATAAGCTTTTATGAGTTTTTATTGGTATCATTAGATTTAGTTTCTAATACAAGTGGGTGAAATCACCATGACTAGACAACTTAAATTTCATATTAATGCAGGTCGGTTGATAACACACACACACACACATGCAGGAAAACACAGGATTTGAATTTTTGTTGATAGTTTTTTAGTGAAGATTTTCATTTAAAATGTAAGCTTAATAACCTGATACATACATCACTGATTCAGTTACTATCAAGTAAAAGACAGGGTTGAATAATCGTGGTGATATTATATTATTGAGATTTTCCTTTGAAGTGCAAGATTTTTACTGTTGATGAATCTCAAAACATCTCCTTGATTTGGAAACCCACCTGTAAATCTTTGTAAAAGCAGATTTCAAGAAGCGAAGGATTTTAGAAAGCCAAAAGCGGTTCCAAAACTGCGAGCCTTCTGGCTTAGATGCTCTGGCTAGTGCTGCAGTTTTAGGAGACAATCTAGATGATTCAGGTGAGCCATCAGTTGGAGCCACCACAAAGCATCCCCGTCACCGCCCTGGTTGCACTTGCATCGTTTGCATTCAGCCACCAAGCGGTAAAGGCAAGCACAAGCCCACATGCACATGTAATGTCTGCATGACTGTGAAGCGCCGTTTTAAAACCCTCATGCTGCGCAAGAAGAAGCGCCAATCAGAACGCGAAGCAGAAACTTCTCAGAAGGACAACATGGATCGTAAGGAATCAGAAGCGAATGGCACAATGAGTCATGAAGTGTTGCATATAAACAATCCGGAGACTGAAGTCAGTCAAAGCAAAACGCAAACTGAGAAGCCAGAAACTAGTGCTGGACAAATAGACCTAAATTGTCATCCTAACAGGGAGGACATGCCGCTGGACATGCCAGGATTGGGCACGATGAACCTTGTTGACTTGGCCAACTCACCGTTGGATAATTATATCAAGCAAAACGGTCTCTCAAGCTTGGTGTGGGACCAAGAGGGAGGTCAAGCTCAACATAGTGGAGAGAGTCTGAGGCGCCTGTCCGATGAAGCATTTCTTGCATCAATAGGATGGACTCATGAGAGCAGACGCGATTGACGGTGCTGTCTATTCGATTTATATCGGCTTGATACCAGTTCACGAGGAGTTCGATTTTCTTCACTCGAATAGTGTAATTTATTTTCGTTTTTTTTTTAATGTCCCCTCCAAAGGGGTGGTGCTATACATATCTCTACAGTCATAGAAAATGCAATTTTGCTGTATGTTTAATTTTCCATTCACACATCTCACCCTTGATATTTCTCTGTTAGAATCTGTGGTTGCTCCATTCGAAGTCCTGCCTACCACGGCGATCTCTATGGGAGGTTCATATGCCTGGTTTTTTGTACTTGTTATATTTGATCAGTTCATCTCAAACCCTATACTTTAATTTGGCTCAAGCTAACCCCACTATTTCCTACTGACATTGAATATGTGATTCCCTTTATCCAGCTGGATTATAAATTAAATAGCCACATCAATACCGTGATACAAAATTATTAAACAAGATGATCTTAAATTCCCTTCTAACAAGAAGCCATTAGGTTAGGTTTAGGGTTTGTTTATGAACAAGAAGCGGGTATTCTATGCTCTTTTCTCTTGTATGGTATTGAGTTACAAACAAAACACGGGTGGGGTAAATTTTGATATTTTTTTAAATTATTTTTAAAAATTTTTGTTTTGATTTATTAATATTAAAAATAATTTTAAAAAAATAAAAAAATATATTATTTTGAAATAGAATAATACCCTAAAAATTAAATATCCGCTACTATACTCTTTCCATGTGGCAGGGCATAAACAAATGTGGTTCTTTCTGATCAAATTAAATTGAAGTTGAGAGACCACTTATGAATTTAAGCCTTGGACTAATCAACCTTTGGTTAATTTAAATTAAATAGCTGGGTTCAATTAATATTCTCATTTATGGTTAGCAAGGTGTAAATAAAATTCTGCCAAACCCGTGAACACTACTTACAATCTCAAAATGTGTACCATTTACCTATCAGGTTGTGGCTCCGTGGTTGTTGGGATAGCTCTTCTTTCTTCGAACTTCAGTTCGAGTCCCGGTAGAAGTGGAGCTGGAGGGTTGTTCACTTCGTGTCTCTACTAGGTCCTCTATGTGTGGTACGTTTGTCACCCCCGCGGTGCCTTACCTGCTCACTAGGCTTACAGGATGTTCAGTGGGCCGTGAGATTAGTCGTGGTGCGCGTAAACTGACCCAAATACCTACGTTAATAAAAAAAAAATGTATACCATCTCTATTAATACTTTGATTTACTTATAATTATACAAGTCGTCCGTGCTTTGTTACGTTGATTTTTTAATTTAAAAAACCAATATTCAAGCACTGCAAACATGTTTTAAATTAAAAGCAAAATATAATCTCGTAACTCGAGTTATTACTGGTTTGATTTAATTATATAATAATAATTAAAAAAAAAAAAACGTTTGTGCCTGGTCCTCCCAAGGGTCCAACCCAATCCATTTCTTGGCCACATGGATGATTGATCTTGTCGTGTTCAATATGAATAAAGCATTGTCTACTGTTTTGTTTTGCTGGTTCAGTACTGCGTCTCGAAAACCTCTCCATCAACACATTCCAGAAAAGGTTTTGGATATATATAGCTGCTTAATGAGAACTTATAAATCAAAATCCATCTGTCAAGGATGGATCAAATGATTAGTAGCTGGACCAAGTCTTTTTTAGTCGGCAACTGCATGTCTTTTGTTGCATGGAACTGTTCAAATGGTATCAGTAGCTGGATCAAGTCTTTCTTAGTAGTGGAAGAAGAAGAAGAGCTACAATTAGGCATCCATTGTGGTCAATTACACGTTAATCTAGCTAACATTAATGGAGATCAGTTATCTTAATTACCATTTCTTAATTAAGTTAGCTAGCATTCTTGTACCAACCCAAGTGAGACAAAATATAGTTGACCCACACCACAAAAATCGTGTCATTAGTGTGCTAATTAATAATTAGTCCGGCCTCGTATTTGTCTCTTTTCATGCTAGGGTTGATTCAATCCACGTAGAGGGTCACACGTCACGGGTTGATATAAATTACCCTGAAAAGATATCGTTTGAAATTTTTCTAAAATGTTAAAATGATATTTTAAAAAATTTTATATTCTATCTTCAAATCAGGTTTTGATTTAATCAAATGGATGGTTGTAGTGTCATCAAGTTAACTTCTACCTGTTTTTTTTTTTTTAAAAAAAACTTGGCCTGGGCTAAATTCCAAAGTTGATATTCCGAGCAGCTTAATTAATGTCCGGCCTAGCTAGATGTTAGCCATTTATGAATAAAATCATCGACATTTCCTATGAAACTTAATGAACTCATTCCACCTCTATTTCAACCAATTTCCACAACTCTCACAATTTCCCTCCGAGGAAAAAAAAAAGCTTGATAAGCTAAAAAATGGGAGACTTGAAAACGTTGGCAAAGGCAAGAATGGAGCTTGAAGAATTGTATTCAGGAATCCCAGATGATTCAGTCAATCTCACTTTTCAAGACCTAGCAATACATGTGAAACAAAGCAAAAATAGTACACCAGAGAAGATAAATGCCACCACCAATAAAGAACCAATTCAAGAAGCCAAAACCCCTAAACAAGTTTCTCCTCTAACCAAGTTGCCTAGCCTTGATTTCAACAGAGGTTTACAGGCTTCCGAAAATCATCAACAACCTCGTCATCTTGCTGAAGGGCACCCACTTGGTAAATCTCATAAACATAACCTGCAGCATGATGATACTCATAGTCCGTGTGGCAATATTGGATCAGATCATCATGATCAAAGCAATGATGTTCGTGCAAATATAGGTAGAAAAGGTCCTTCAAAATCAAGGTTTGCACCGGAGAGAAGCAGGGAATTTGATGATGTGAGTGTTATGAGCATGAATTCTATGTACCAAGAAAGAAGTGGAAGACCTCGTCGCCCTGGAATCCCTCACTCCAATATTTGCACCATTTGCTCTACTTACATCTATATTTTTCGGCATCGTTGCTTGGTGAGTTTACTAACCAATCCTCCTCCTTTCTTTCTTTCTTTTTTTTTAAAAAAAAATTAAGCCCCAGATTCGATAAAGAGAGATGCTTTCGATAGTGGTTTATAAGTTATGTTTGAGGTGATTTAATACTTGTATTGTAGATTTATATTCTTGTATTGATGGCTAAGAAATGATGATTTTGTCTACAGGTTTGTGGAAGAGTCTATTGCCGAAATTGTGTAAGCATAGGAATGGGAGAGATGACAGAAGGAAGAAAGTGCATCGACTGTTTAGGGAGAAGGTTCAGTCAAAGGTAACATCTCTAAGCATATTTCCTTCAAATTAATTTATCTTATGTATTTTCATGCATGGTTGATTAATTAACAAGTATTGGATGTGCAAAACTTAATTTAAATTAAATTTATTTGTCATTAAATCTGTAGATGACCTTGCATTGAAAGGGACTCTGAAATTTCTCCGATCCACAAACTTGGATTAAATTCTAATCTTTTACCATTAACCTTAATTTATTTGATTGTCCTTGCTTATAGCGTGGTCATGATGCTATATTGACTAATTTATGGGCCAGATGTTCATCATTAATGATGGATCACAGCTATAAATAATTTACTGTGGCAACCAATTAAACTCTAACAATTTGTCTGATTTTTTATACAGATACATTAGTAGAGCAGGAAT